AAAAAAAAAAAAGAGAGAGAAGGAAAGAAAGACATTTCTAGCTTTACTTGGACTTATGTAGATCCATCTTCAGTAGAAGTGCAAAATAACATGCGAAAAGAAGGGCAGACAGTAAACTACAGAAAGATTGTTGCCAGCGTTGCTTATTTAGGAATCTCTAGGTTCAGAGTACTTCATGGAACATTCACAGCAAATATATGCAGGCATTGATTATCACCATTTTATTGATGGGAAAACCAAAGGCAGAAAGTTAAGTTTTCTTGGTTCCCTGCTTTACCTTTACCTGCCTCTCCCTCTGAATGCATATATCAGTTTTTATCAGTAAGAAGTTTATATCCATGTTCTAGGTGGTCTGGCCGTAATCATCGAGAGAAGATTGGGGTCCATGTCGTCTTTGACCAGGTATTAACCATGGAACCTTACTGCTGCAGGGACATGCTCTCCTCTCTTGACAAAGAGACCTTTGCCTATGATCTCTCCGCAGTGGTCATGCATCACGGGAAAGGGTTTGGCTCAGGACACTACACAGCCTATTGCTACAACACAGAGGGAGGTGCGTGCGCTTGACTGTGGGGTGGGGGACACAGAAAAGGGTTGATTTGTCCACATTTTATTGCTTTCCATTTATTTCTATCCCATTAGTTACCTAGGAGGAAATTATATACAATAAAATCCATTACAAACAATTATGAAAGTTGGATTCAAATTTTGGGTATGTCACTAAGTAATAACATATGCTCATTCTAAGAATTAAAAAGAACTGACACATAAAAAATGCTTAGAAGAGCACCTAACACATAGTACTTGCTCAGTGTTGGAGGATATTGTAGTATTATTGATATTATTGATAGTATTGGTTATCTATAGTATTATTGCTGCAGTAATGCTTCTTTTATAGATCTCAGTTTCCTTCTTGATTGTGCAGAAATAAAAGTACTTGTGTAATATGGAGATATTATATGAATCTCATGAGCATCAGCATATAATAAAGCTGAAAGTATTTACTGAGCACTTACTACATCGTTAATGCTTCCTTTATGTGGGAAGTATGAGGATGCAAGGGCCCCTCCAAAGGCGATTTCAGTCCTTGTCCTCCAGAGTGGAGCCTCCCAGCTACTGCACTGAGGCAGATGGGCTACACCTGTGTTTTCAGCAGTATACTGTTCTCAAACCTCTCAGCCCTTGGGGCAGCCAGAGCCTGTGAACAAATAACTGTTTTATTCATTCTAAATGCTTCTTTATCTCTCCCCTCTTTTTCCATTTTTCCTCTCCTCCTTCTTCTCCTTTTCCCATTGTCTCACTCCCAACAGCCTCAATATCTTTGTAGAAGGCCCTAATGGACAATGAAAAAGCCTAAGTACAGTGAGGACAAAAATTATACTCAGTTGGTAGTTGAGACCAGTCTTTAGTATTGTAGTAGGCTTTGGTGGGGTTAAAGCCAGGGGTTACAGGCTTGGCGCCTGTGGCTCAAGCGGCTAAGGCGCCAGCCACATACACCTAAGGTG